AGCACGGGGAGCCACTGCGGACTGCAGCAACAGGAGTGATAACAGGAGTGCTGTGCCGGCGGCTACTTCGCGCTGCCCCCGCGCAGCAGTGGGGGGGCCGCGGGCAGCGTCGGCGCTGCCCCTGCGAGTCTTCCCCGCGCTGTGCGGGCTCCGCGCCGCCCCTCTTCGAGGGCTTGAGCGGTTCTGTCCCTCGCAGCGCAGCACAAGCGGTGCTCAGGGCTCACCATGTGCTGCTGTGCGCGTTACCTCCGGGCACCTGGGAAGGAGGCATTCCACATGGCTGCTGAGACTCCCAGAGGCTGTATGCAGAGTCCTCAGAAGCCGCGTTTTCGCCCAGTGACTCTCAGCTACCTGAGAGCTTCTCAGAGGACTGGAATGTTCAAATACACTCCAGGGAAGATGGATTAGAGGGCGAGATACCCACAGCAGTCAGAGGTCCTGATAAACACAAAACGTGCATCGTTCTGCAATGCATCACCTCACTATCACTACAAAAATTTAACTCTGGCCCCTGATAAGAAGAGTGGCTCTGCAGAAGACTTAAGAACACACAAAAGTATTACAAAACACTGCTATCACACTGGCAGGTATTCCAGAGATAGGCAGGCTCAGGGTTTTACTCCATTTTGTAGGACAAATCCTAATGTTGGCTCTCCCATGTGATCACAGATGCAGAATTTTCAGGCAAACCATGCCTAGTTTCTTTGAAGAGAGGAAGTCATAGATGCTGTGCCACTTAATCCCAGGCACAATAAAGGGATGAACCAAATGATTTATAGTCTTATATGAGGATTATTCCCTCAAACTGATGAATTACACCTTTTCACTTGCCAGCAAGTTCTCTGAACTGTGTTAGCTAAGCCTCTCTACACGCTACTGGCAGTTTGCAAAGCCCTGTTACTTCAGAGAAATCTGACCTCACTGTGGATTACAGGAGGGCCTTGGAAAATATTTGCTTTCAGCACTTTATGAACCACTTCAGCCCAATATCCTTCTACAGCCTCTGCACTCTGCTTGGAAAACTGTAGGATGGTGAGTCCTGTCCTGCTCCCAGTTCTGGGAAGGGCCAGGGGCTAACCATTGGGTGGAACAGGAGACTGACCTGAGTCAGGGAGGGAAAAAGAGGCTTCACACAAAATAGCCATTCACAAGTAGGTGTTTTCTTCCCTCTGGCATTGCACCCACTGATTTTTGGTGAGGATGGTAGGGAAAGAGAAGAAGCTACAGGGTTGGTGTGGTTTAGTGAAGTTAATTCCCAAGCAAGAATAAGAACTGGCTTGCATCTGCACTATGCACTATGAAAACTGGCGTAATTTACTCTTACACCAGAAGAGCAATACCCTCCCTTGTTTGCACCTGGCTGACTATTTTAAAGAGCAGCAGTGGCTGAGAAAGCTGCACTCCTGCTGCACTGCTGGGCCCCTTCCAGTGACTCAGTGCCAGCAGAGGCGAGCTGCTCCATCCAGAGCAGTGGTGGGAGTCACAAGCAAACCTGCACACCTCAGCCAGACAGCTGCCATGCTGAGTGTCCATGCCTAAAACCACGTCTGTCCTGTTCCTTGCAGCCATGCCAGCAAGTGCAGTGGGGCTGCCCAGATTCAGTGGAGGGAGGTTCAGCCACAGCAAGTGCCCAGTGGGATCCCAGCAGCAAGCTGGGACCTCTGCTAACTCTCGGCTTTGCAGCAGCCTCAAGGGAGTCCTTTGCCTAAGCTGCGGTTTTAGGCAGTGGAAAATCCTTGTTGAAGGGTGAAGAAGAGAGAGCAAGAGTGGCTCACCAGGCAGATAAGCACGAGGGCCCAGCCATCGAGGGCAACAGCCAAAACCCACATACTTGTGCCGATAGATAAAAAGTGCTGGGAACTTGGAGGGGCTGGAGTTTGTGACGTGTCTCACTGCTGTTTGAGTGTGAAGGTTGCGGTTCCTCTGCCTCCCAGAGGCTGAAGTTTCCCATGGGTCTCATACTTGTTCTTGTTGTGTAATGCTGCAAAGGGGAAGAGATGAAGGTCGCTCTTGCCCTGCGCTAGCACTGTTTGTGGAGTATCAAGATTTATAAAAACGAGCAGAGGGAGGAAAGAAATCAGTAGTCTGTTTCCCCGTGTAGCCTTATTCTTGTAGGTCTTAAGCAAGAGGAAGCTGACTTTAATCCCTGGAAATCACAGAAACAGCAAACTCTTCCACCTCCACGTCATTCCAGAAGAAGTTAAGCTTACGCTTCCACATACCTCAGTACACCATTAAAGAGTAATTTTTCATATCTGTGCATGTTTTTCTTTAGCTGCCTTAATGAAGAATATTCATTTCCCCCTTCATTTTGGCAAAGTAACTCTTAACATCTTAATACAGATCTGATTTATCAGGATAATATGGCAAAACCTGTTGCTGTGTGTACTGTCTGCAGAACCAGGTGATCCTGTTAATAGGTGTAGCCTAAGCAACACCCTGCAGAGATGAAACACATTCTCTTTTATTTATGCAGCTTGGCATTCTATTGACTTACTGCTACAGCAATATACTGAATACCATCTATCATGATTTATTACTGGTCCTGGTTCTCTTCCTATTTTCTGTCTCATCTTTCTACTGGTTTGCTTGATTTACCCCAGTGAATCATTGGACAGTTTCCATTATTAAAAAAATCAATTACTTTGATGTACAATGGGCAGCACGTACCTAGTTCCACATTTTACTTAAGTAGGCATTTTGGGTGGTGGATCTTGGCAATAATGAATGCATGAGCTGAAAATAGCTTACTACGGACTGTTGGGATCCAAGCCCTTTTCATTCCGCTCAAGGAAGAAAGGTCTGTGCCATGGGACCCTCAGTTACCACCCCTTCTCTCTGAGTAGGGCAGCCAGTGGGCAGCAACCCCCCCTCGCTCACAGGTGCTTTAATTTTCACAAAAGGGAAAGCAACTTTCCAAAATGTGGGAAGCAAATTCTAATTCAAGCCCTCTGGGGAAGTTGCTGTAATCTCCAGGAGAAATCTACACAGCCTTTAAGGCCAGGCAGGATCCTGGAACAAACCCTAACTCAAATTTCAGTGATGACCAAAGGAGTAGCAACCTATATTCCCAATATGCAGAGATTAAAAAGATTCATTCCTCATGTCTAATGAAGTCAGAGGAGCAATACTAGCGAGGAACATGCCCTGCCAACTACTGAATGCAGCTTCTGAGCTGTAAGCTTAACTATATGTATAATTATTTGCAGGATGCATAACAAATGAAGACTTCCAGGCTTGACAGGACTAATATTAGTGCTACCAGCTGTGTTTTGGCTTGTGGGCTTAAAGGTAAGGTAATTCTGTCTCTTCACGTGGCCCATTTGCCCAGTACATGTGAGCCAGTGTCTGCATGCATTCAAAGGAACTCCACTTCTCAGGCAAGTCTTCACATTTCCTGCAATGGTTACGTGTAGGCAGATTTGTGCATGTTTTTATTTAACTCCCTCTCTGAAAGCTCAGTGCTTGCATTCACAACCACACAAGCCCATAGCCCTTTGCCTCATCATGAAAAACCAGGCCTCCCTTCATCTGCGAGCAGCAGTATCCCTGAGAGGAGACGTCTGAAACCATAGTTACCAGCTTCTATCTGAATAACAGCTCTTGAAAAATTCCCAACTCCAAGGCTATGTTCTTGTCCACACCAACTGCAACAAGATGAGAGTCTAAAGTGCTTGAAATTAAATTGTAGGATTTTCCGGAAACCATCCAGCTTCACAGTAACCATCAGTCCCAGAAATGGTGAATGGCTCCTTGCACATGCTTGTGCTTCACAGGGCCAAGAATCTTAAATCCAGTAAACTCTGCTATTATCTTCACCCTGACTTAGTACTGCACATGCCTTTCCAAGGCCATGCACCTCCTTGCCTGTCTGCAGGGTGATGACACCAGCTCTGGGATATGTTTTATCAATTTCTCCCTTCTTAGAAAGTGTCCCAGCTGTGGGAGAAGGAGTGCTTTCTGATCTGACTTGGATATCTTGGAGAAGAGCCAGGCCTTTGTCTTTTCCTGGAAATGTAGCTGCAGGAAGAATGATTCACCAGGTTGAACCTGCATAACCAACTGAAAACAAAAGCTCAGACTTCTGTGTCTCACTGTTGCAAATAATGGGGGGAAAAATAGGCATCCTGTTTTGAAAACCACTACCAGCTGACAGGACAAAAATTTTGCACGTGTGATTGTCTCCTGAAGCTGACAAGTAACATAAGACTACAGCCATTTAAATGAAAAAGCCTGGAGCAAAACTGTAGTTAGGGAAATAGAATATTCCAGTGTTTGGGGGAAAAACAGTAACCAGGGAGGTTGTTCAGAACACACAAGGTGGATTTTTAGTAGCCCTAAATTTTCACACTTTTAAATCTCTTGGCTAGCAGTGAATACATGCAAACCAGGGCTGGGAGCCTGTGTTTCATAGTGTAAGGACAGACTGCAGTGCTGCTGTCATTGATTAAATCCGTCCTTTTGCCTCTGCGGCAATCTAAGATGTCATTGCAGGCAATGCAGAGGCTGCTTGGCTGGCATGACAGCATCTGGATCACTGCAGGGATACCAACAGCACAAGCATGTGGGAGTTAATGTTTCTCTACTTTAGCTTTTCTTTTCTGCTCCTGCCTTCATTTTGTCTTAAGGTAAAATAAAGTTATCAAAGACTAAAGTAGAGTTCATGGAGACTTAGTGCCTGGGAAGAGAATCTGAAATGTGCTGGGACCAAGAAGGATGGAGGCCTGCAAAGCTGTACTTTGTGCACTGTTAGGCAGAGGGCTGGCAGAACCATTTTGATGTATCAAGCATTAGAAATACCTGTTACTGCAGGTCATGGATTCAAATTTCCTTCGAGGAAAAGGAAAATGCTTGTCAGTATTTTAACACAAACATTAACATGAATGGTGACTTTATTCAGAAAAGTCTAACTGTGCATGTGTAAGCCCTGCAGCAAGTTTGTTTAGGGTAAACTTCTGCACGTTTAATTCCAACCCTGGGCCACCAAAGGCCGGAAAGCAGCGCTGAGGGGCCCTTCCTGTTAGCTTTAAGGTACCTGGAATTGCTTAGAGTTGACTCTTCCATCTCCTCCATTGTCTGAAGGATTTTCTTTCTAAGAACTTGAGACAAGAAACACTGACAATACCATTACAAATAACGCTAACACTCCCCACCCCGTCTTTCATAAACTTGGATTCTTCCTGCTTTTAAAAGGGTAACCTCTGCACTGAGGCAGATGTCTTTGCATCTATATAAATGCTATAGCTCATGTCTGCTTGTCCTTATAATTGTTTTTAATTAGTTGCTGTTAACTAGTCCTAAATTAATACAGTGCATTACTTGCACTGTAATTTCCTCTCCAGTTACCTAACACTGCACCTATACAACACATCATAAACTTGGCCACCTAATGTTAAGCCTCTAGATCCATATGCAGACCCCATAAAAGGGAGGTGTTGCAGCATTTTTCCAGTATCCCACACACCAGACGCATGTTACTCTGGCCTGCAACCATCAGCCAGCTGAGATGGGTACAGAAGCTGCTGGGAAAGAAGGGCAATCACAGCCCTGCCTAGCTGCTTCCCTACCACAGCCCTGTGCTCACGGGAGCACTGCTGGAGCAGCCCTTCCAGGTGTGCATCCATGTCTGCTGGAGCAGCCCTTCCCTGTGTGCACCCATGTCTGCTGGAGCAGCCCTTCCCTGTGTGCACCCATGTCTGCTCACGGGTCAGCCTTGCTCCAGTGGATTATGAACTCTTCTGTCACAAGACCCAACATATGGCATCCCAAGGCCTGGAAGTCCAGCAGCTGGAGATGTTGGTAAGGCTGTAGGTCTGTGGACATCTGAAAGCGCAGTGATAAGTGGAGGAGGTTTCTAGCAAATGAAGTGCAGCTGAGAATGCAGTGGTTGCTTGTGAAGAACAACTTACTCATTTTGCTTTTTGTGCCTTAACTAAAAATACAGAATAATGTCAGTTTTCAGACCTGCAAGGCCTTTGAGAGCTCAGTCACATAATTCCACTAAAAGCTAAGTGATCTTTCTGTAAGAAGACATTTTAATAAACGTGATGATTATATACGACACTTTATGCAAGGTTGAAGGAGTGAATGTAATGTTACTGATGGGAATAATTCCCTCTTCAGAGGTTGCAGAAACTTCCTGTATTTCAGCTCAAGCACTTATGAAATTATACATCTTTATACTTTTGATCATTACTTCCATTGTTTAATGTAACTCTGTGTGTAACAGAGATGACACAAATCATACATTTATTTCAATATTTAACATTTATTGCAAGGATCTTGATGAAGCAGCAAGTTGTAAGGTCTACTGATAACCCATCAGTTTCTGCAGAAACTTAAATTTTTATTTTTAATTCACCCCATTCGTTTCAAAGATGATCCAAATCAGTTGGATTTGGATAAATAAAAATAAAGCTGTCTTTATTCTGCAACTGCAAGCTGTCATCAGCCAAATTAATCTCTGCTTATTCCCCTTGTATTTAACAGCAAGTTATTCACCACCCCATCTATCTCATGGGTGTGGAGAATCTGGAAGCTACTGGTGAAGATGAAAATGTAAAAACTGTTAAATCATTTCAGTGCTAGTCATTTGAACGGCCACTTAATGGTGATACTTAGGGAGAAAGACCTCTTTCTTTTCTGGGTTTTCCTCCAAGCTTTGTGTTAGCTCTTGTTCATTTGGTTGATGAAAGCTTTTAGCAAAACAGATATTTGTACAAACTTTACTTCAAAGAAAATTTTTATATCTGAGTGGAATGACAACCAGAAGCAGCTGCCATTTATTTAGGGAGGAAAGGATTAAATGTGTATGACCAGAAGTTTCCACACAAATATGGAACAGAACCATTTGGAATAAGGCGTTGCTGTTAGAGGGTTATCAACAACACAGGTTTCTAGATAGAGTTTAAAAAAAAACCCCAGATTGTTTCTATTTATACCTGCGTTTGCCTTGGTAACCGGAGACTGCATGAGAGATGCAGTATTTTCCCACCATGGATGTCTCCAAAATCCATGCGCAGCCATGCGCTACATCCAGCGTCTGCAGAACTATCACAAGAACTGTCACGTTCATTTCTAAGAGAGGATTTTACATATCAAGCAGCAAAGAGAAGATTTCAGAAAGGGAGTTATATTAGTAAAGATTCAAAATAATTTGTACTCATTTCTATCTTATCTACTTGATTCTTTGATCTTCTAAGTATTACAAGGACCATCGCTCTTAAACACTTTGTCTTAATTACCCTGGGCAGCTTACTCGAATCCGAGGTGGCAGGATTTACTTACAGTTGGCTATGTTATGCCTGCTCTATCAAGTAGTTGAATTAGGTAAGAATGGACTTGAATCAGTGTTTCTTTAAACTTTAACTCATTCTTGCTTACCTTAAAGTCAGCTGTTTCCTACTTGGCAAGATTATGTGCAGCTTAGGTATCCTTATAGCCCTCTGCAGTGCTTAAAAGCTGAACCAGGCTATGCTCTTGCAATTTTACTGTTGTGCTGAGCTTTAGCCCTGCTGGGAGAAAAAGCATTTCAGTTCTGGGCATCTGTTTTAGCCATAATTCTGTGTTGTTGAGTTTTTCTTATCCTTCTATTGTCAGGAAAGGTAGAAGAAACCAAGTGTCTTTCTCTGCCACTGTAATACCCAGCTGCTGCATCTTCTTAGAAAATGGATATAGGAAAAGGGAAGAGCAGGTAGATGTAGGCTTAGAATGAATATGGGGAATCAGGGCCCAGACTGAAATTCTAGTGGACTTGGTTCTCTTTTAAAGCTTCACTATCCAGTTATGATCTGGAAAGTAATTTCTGATCTCCGGTCTAAGGTTCGTGGAAGTCAGTGCCAAAGCAACTTTATCAGGGAAGAAGGGTAATACTTCTGGAAGCAGGGCAGGATCAGTAGAGAATCTGCTGGGCTCCAAAGACATTCAGGGCATCCTAACAAACCCAGATTATTGGGATAAAAGCACTTGCTGCATTGTCATCTTTGAGAACAAATGTATAAATTTTCACATACAGCATTTTTTTCACTCCAGTTGCTCTTCAGCCAGACCCTTGGTCCTATGACTGCAGGGGAAGAAAACGAATCTTCTGAAGCAGAAAGGAGGCAGTTGGGAGCACTGGAGCCCTGCCACACTCCTCCACATTTTGGTTGGAGATCCCAGGGCTGACGTGGTTCTGGAGGTAGAGGCCAAAGCTTTGTGCCATTTGGGAGTTTTCCTCTATTTGCCTGATGGTGTAGTTTAGGCACAGTGTGACTCAAAAGCTCATTCAAACAGAGTTCTCATTTCAAGTGTAATCACTCTCATTGCTTTTCCCACACTGCCTATATAAATAATTAAAAAAATAATCGAGATAATAGCACAAGCAATTTCAAACTCAAAAGCAGTAGTGGCAAGGGACCAGTACTTTAGGACATAAAACCACAGTAAGCTGAATCATCACACTCGTTCTGGCATGTTTATGAGGAGAAGTCTGAGTTGCCATAATTCAAGTATGAACTGGTTTGGGGCAAGTGAAATTTTGGTTCCCATTCTCCTACAGTAGCAGAACCCTAAAGACAAGCTTTATTTCCTGTTACCCCTGTGCAGCCTGTAATGATTCTCGAAAAAGATTTTCATGAATCCTGTCCCACTCTGTTGAAATTGCCAGTATTTAGATGCAACCACATTTGCTTTTGTCTGCCAGTCAGATTTGCTGCTCCCCGTGGGAAAGAGTGGGGATGTTTTCTGGAGCTTGTTAGGCTCCCCAGCTTCGAAGGGCTGGCCTTGCCCCATCGGTGGTGTCACTGGGATATACCACGGTGCCACAGAGCCTCTGGAGATGGGTGCAGAGAAGGTGTGCTGCCCCCTGCCCTGCTCCCAGGGGCTGAGGAGCACAGCTAGAGGCACCGAGCCTTTCTGTGGAGTACCTGCAGCACGGCCTCCGGGCAGCCAGAGCGCAAGGGCTGCCAGGACACTTCCCTGGCTCTCCCATGGCCTTTAGCAGTCTTTGGAGCTAGTTCAAGTAACAAAGGAGAGGAGCACTGTGTTGTTTTGCCAAACAAGAGATTAAATGGAGCCAAAGGTGAAGAGAAGCCCATGCACAAACAGCGCCACAGGAGCATTACCACCTCACCGCCAGCCCAGAGCAGCTTTGCCTGTGCTGCCTTGGTCAGTGCTCCACTGAGATGCAGAAGAACTGCTCTGTTTTTGCCATGGTTACCCAGTCCCAGGGACCGCTTCCAGGCTGGTGATGAGCACTCGCACAGATAATGCTCTCCGTGCCAGCAGTGGAGGACGAGGCCGGTGGGCTGGACAAACGCCTTCCTTTGCACTGCCTTCCAAAGACTCCCGAAACAAAAGCCAGAGGCTGGCACCGCAGGGAGGCTGCGGGGACATTGGCAATGTCCCACAGGGCGTGGGACCTTTTCCCCCCGTACCTTGTGGCGTGGCAGTAGGTCCGCGGGAGCCCCTCCGGGCCCAGCCTCCCGCAGGAGGCACCGCGCGGCTTCTCCCCAGCGCCGGCCACGGGCACAGCCCCGCACCAGCCAGGTCGCCTTCCGTCCTGTCCCCGGCCCGCTCCCGTCGCGGCTGAGGGGCAGAGCCCGAGACCCTCCTGCCCAGCCCAGCGCGGCCCGCTGGCCCGGGCTGTGATCGCCCCCCCCGGCCGGCTCGCGCCGCCGTTCCGTCCGGCGGTGCGAGGAGCCGCGCCGCCGGGCTGCGCGCTGGGCCGGCCGGGCGCTCTGCGGCAGCGCCGGGGCTGCGCGCGGAGGAGCGGGCCGGGCCCAGAGAGGGCCGGGCTCTGCCGGTGCGCCCCGGGTCACCCCCTGCCCGCGGCTCGGGGAGCGCGGGGCTCGGGCAGGCCGAGGCCGCGGCCAGCCGGGCCGCAATCGCCGCGGCGGATGGCCCTGTGCCCTACGAGGAGGGAGCCGGCTGGGGCGCGCAGCTGCACAGCCCTTCGGCCACCTTCCACTTCGCCAGCCGCACCATCCGCCTGCAGCAGGACTGGCGGCGGCTGGGGGTGGCGGCCGTGGTCTGGGACGCGGTAGGTGTTCTCGCCGAGCGGAGCTTTCCTGCCGAGCTTTCAGGATCACCTTATAAAATTATTTAACGTTAAAATGTAAAGGGAAGGCTTTTTTCCTTTTTCTTTTCTCTTTTCTTTTCTTTTTTTTTTTTCCTTCCTCCGGAAAGAAAATATTAAACTCTGCTTTACCTTTTTTTTTTTTCCTTCCCTCATAAGAGATCCTGAAGGACTTCAAGGGAAATGGGCCACCTAAATCTTGCACGGCCACTGCCAAATACAGGAAATATCTCGGATAACTCACAGAACTCTCACCCATTTCTTAACAATGGCTGGTGATGTTTGCTTGGCACCCTTCAGAGCACAGCATGGATCGCTGCTTGTAGCCTCCAGAAGGACTGCTGATAGACTTTATCTTGGGGATAGGAACAGTCAAAACAGAGGGGTTTGTGGCAGGCCCAAAGCTGCAGGGCAGTCGCTCACAGCACCACTGTAGAAATCCAAGGGCTTCCCATCAGCCAGGTCTCAGGTCCACACACAAATTGCTCTTTTACCTCTAGTTTAAAAGAACAAGTTTTAGCAAACTCCTCAAATGAATTGGTGTACAGGGCTGTTGGTCTTTCCGGACTTCAGTTTTGACAGAACTTGCTCTGGAGAGAGCTCCTTGTCAAGAGTGATATAAAATATAACACATTAGATACAACCAGATAGAAGAGTTATTTCTTTACATTCCCTATTGTCCTTCCTGATGGCATGCCAGTGTTGTGGAGAAACCTTTTGAAATACTATGTAAGAGATTATGAAGCCTTATTCTTGTCTTTTGCTGTGTTCATTCACTAGTGTTTGACACCACTTCAGCTTTTCCTTTCCAAATGCAACTCCTTCTACCTCCTGTTATGTTTGGGGATTCATGAAGCAATTACCACATCTGAGTTGTAACCTCTATGGTTCTTTTTTATTTCTACCAGCAAGAGCCTTCCGTAAAACTCATAAAAAGACCACATGTGCACACAGGAGGCAGAGAAGGGTTGAAGGAAATCTTGCTGCAGACCTGAAGTGCCTGACTCTTCCCATAACCTTCTCTTGGGTTAAGCCAGAAACCCTGTGTTTGGTATGACTGAAATGAGCCCTGTGCTAAATTGTCTTTGTCTCTTGGCTTAGGCTGTTGTCCTGTGTGCTTATCTGGAGATGGAAGGCATTGATCTCAGGGATCGGTCTGTGATTGAGCTGGGAGCTGGGACTGGATTGTTGGGAATAGTGGCCACATTATTAGGTAAGGGCTTTTTTGTTTGCTCATTTAAAACACTTTACAACTGTAGTAAAACTAGTGCTTTTACATCTGGTATAGTGTGAGCACCAAAGCTGCATATGTGAACTGTGATGGTTCCTCTCTGAGTCATCTTCCTTTCTCGTTAGACTTGAGAGCCTGCTGCGATATTTGTTGTAGTGATGGTGCCACTGCAGTTTACTTTATGGCGGGACCCTGTTAAGGCTGACGCCTGTTACCATGGCAGGAAGCTCAGCAGCAGTCAGCTCTGCAGCTATTCTCCCCCGGGGAACAAGCGCTGAGCTTCCCGTCTTCCACATGTCCTCGTATGCAGATAAAGCTACAGACAGAAACGGCTCTGAGCTTGCGTAAGCTGTGTTAGCCTGTCTTGCAGACAGGCAAGCCAAGGTCTGCAGAAATGATTTGCCGGTGATCTGTCTGTGGCTGAAGCAGGGACTGGGTATTATGTTAAATTTGTGCTACCTGTCCCAGGTTAACTTTGTAATTCAAAACTCTAGTGGCTGTGTGAGGTGCCTACTGAAATAATAGAAACAGAGCTTTTGACAAAATACAGTCATGCCATGCAAAATCACAGAGGCATAACTTTGTCTGACCTGTGAAAGAGGCTCTCTAGCTGCCTGTCTCCTACTGAAAAATACGGGATTGAAGCAGGTTAATGGTAACAACCCCTCTAATTCATTCTTTTGTTGCCTATGGAAAGACAGAAGGTAACTCCGTGACTTTCATGCACTAAGAAAAAGCACTAGAAAACACTTTCTGTTCCCTACCCAACTTAATCTGCACTGTATATTCCTAAGTGACTGATGAAGGGTAGGATGTAGGTAGATAGTGGGGGTTTTGCGTGTTTTGTTCTTTTGTTTGTTTGTTTTTAATCAGGCAGTTCAGGGAAATTGTTAATGTTTAACAAGGAGCCTGCTCGACTTAAAGCATTGTATTCCGCATTGCTGTATTTATGGACTCTGACTGTTTGAGCCATGTACTCCTGTACTACTTAGGTGCTCGTGTTACTATGACAGACAGGGAGGCAGCACTGGAATTCCTGGAGTCAAACGTACAGGCTAATTTACCCTCTGAACTACGTCCGAGAGCTGTGGTGAAGGAGCTGACTTGGGGAAAAGACCTGGATAACTTCCCTCCAGGAGCATTTGACTTCGTCCTGGGTGCAGACATCGTTTATCTGGAAGAAACTTTTGCAGAGCTGCTTCAGACGCTGGAGCACCTGTGCTCCGAGCAAACTGTGATTCTTCTTGCCTGTCGTATCCGCTATGAACGGGATCACAAGTTCTTGAAGATGCTGAGAGACCGTTTCTCCGTATATGAGGTCCACTATGATTCCAGTAAGGATGTTCATATCTACAAAGCACAGAGGAGTAGTCACAAGGATGACTTTTGACTCTACGCCTTGTTAATAAACCACTGCTGCTGTTCAGTTCTCCCCTTTGTTTCTACTCAATACACTCATTCCTAAGCATAAAGTTGCAGTTGTGTTATTTCACTGGCTTCTTGTTCTGATGGTCTTGTCTGATAACTTGGTCTGACACAGCAAGGGCTGCACTTCTGTTCTGCATATTTAACCTCTGCTTCATTTTGGAATACAGTTGTGTAGGGTCTTCCACTGACTTTTTATCAAATGTAATTTTTGAAACTGATTTAAGCTGCAGAAATCTCCAGGCATCAAAATTATTATCAAATTATTATTATCTGTTGTTTAAAATCAAACCACACTTAGTTCCTGTGGGAAACGTGTGTTACAGTGGGTTTTTTTCCTCTTATCACTTCTTTAACTCTGAAAAGTGGATGAAATAGAAGCTAATCCTCCAGCTCTAAATGCTTTAACTCTTCAGGCCTTTGCATCTTAAAAGCGGTGGTAAAAGAAGCCACTTAAGGGGCAAAAAGAAACAAAGGCAACTGCTATAAAGTTGTCCTATTACTGTCACTGCTGAATTGAAGAATAGGGAAACAAAGAACAAGATCTGGATCAGGGGGCTGGGAATCCAGATTGCCAAGTAAGCCAACTTAGAAATCAGTGGTATTTTTACCTGACTTGCAGACGTGGGGGCTACGCCTGCAGGTTGTGGTTCACGGGTTGTCCTTAGCAAGTCTCCCCCACATAGATAAAGGCTCCTTGGAGGAGATACACATGCACATGAAAGTGAAACATGCAGATTCAAACTGTTCTTTAAATATCAAATCAGTCCTTGACTCTCAAAGTACTGCTAAATAATCTTCTACTTTCTACATTCGTTTATGCCCCCTCTGTCTCTGAGAGTTGTTATTTAGGAGAGGAGGGTGCTGCTGTAAAGTCTTTGTAGCAAGGGAAATAGTTATTCTTGTATTACTCAGGACCTTGGGGCAGTGTCTAGATTTCAGTGTGCTTTCAGTGCATAGTGGTTGTTAGACGCTGTTCTAAGTAACTGATTTCATACCTTGAGCTTGTAAAACATGTTTGTGTGTTTATGCCATAAAATTCTATGCGAAAATGCTGCAGCCTGTAATCCTGCTTGCACCAGCAGCAGACTTCCTTCTCTTTCTAGTGGTAGAAGAATGAAACTGATGAAAACAATGAGCTAACAGAAGACAGCTACACTTCTAAATGCAGGAATTGCTTTACTACTTTTTTTTTTTCTGGTGCATGTGGAACTTTTGCTTTAAACTTAAACTCACAAAACCTCAGGTCAGGTTCAGGCTTTAAGCATATGCTTGTCTTTGGCACTGGCAAAAGCAAACACCAGTAGCTGCTTCGGGCTATGGACATTTTGGAGCTTTCTATCACTTCTGCGTCCATCATACTTCCTAACTGCAAAAGATGCAGAGGGTCGGTGGTCCAGAGGTGCTGTCTGTAATCTGTAAATGACACATCTATCATCACCACTGTGATGAACGAGGCCCGAAGGTTTGTGGCTCATCCCTGGCACATCTCTGGCATGTTTTCAGCGAAGTTCCTTGCTTGGCTCTGGACTTGGCCTCAGAGTTGCTGCTCTGAAACACAACAGTATCCTCAGAAGCCACATGGTGTCACTAAAACAGTACTTACACAGCTGGCTGGGAATTTGCAGCCTGAAACTAGAGTTGAAGTCTGAGGGAAGGGAGACAGCACCCTTGTCTGAAAACAGAACATGATATGAGCTTTAATGTGCCAGGTGTGGCTTTTTTTGTCCTATGAGCTGGGTGAGCAATGGTTGAAAAGAATTAATGAGCTCTCCCCACTCTCTCTGGCTCTAGTTTTTGGAGTGTGGCTCTAAATTCTTGCCACTCCTCTTCCTTTTCCTCCCCACTGGTGTTTCCTTGTCTCCAAGCTCGTCTCTGATTAGGCATTAGGCTTGTCTGTACAGTGGGCTCCCCCTGGGCTGGAGCTGCCAGAAAGCAGTGTGCTGGTGCTTGGGCTTGTGAGTGCCCAGGACATGGTCTGTGGGGAACGTGGCAGTGGTTGGCCCTCACAAGAGGTTGCAGCTTACAGTAGTGACAGCTGTAACAGCTTGTCCTGTTGCCATAGTAGGGACATGCTAAAAAGACTGATTAAATAGCACAGAATAAAGCCTAGTGCAGCAACCTACACGCTTTTAAGAAGGGGGCTTTGGCCTAGGCCTTTCTTTGACAATAGGATTAGTTTTGTACTTTTAAAACAAATCAGTTTAATTCCATCTCTTTCTGATTGTTCAGTTAAGCTTTCAGTGTCAGATTTCCTGTTGCTTCCGTGGCTCCTCTTACCCACAGCCTTCTTGCCAGAGCAGGCATGTAGAGACCAGGTTTGGCTTCTTTTGCTGTGCTGCTGTTACACAGCAGCTGTATGCAAACCCAAGGGAGTATGTTTGAAGGCTGAAGCAATGCTGCTGCCCATAAATGAACACTTGGGGAGAAAAGCATGAGATGACACTGGCAGGTGAGTGCCTTGCCCCTGACCTGCAGAGCTGAGCTCTCAGTGGCCCCTTCCCAGCCCAGCAAGTGGCACCCTCTTCAAGGGGACACCTCCTCTGCTACTGGGGTGCAGGTGCTCCATTAAATTTAGGAGACCAGATCCAGGAATACTGCATTTAGGCCACCACCACGTGCATATCAGTTGAGGCTGCTTTTAAAGCTAGTGTTTAGGGGGAGGCACCAACCGTGAGAACATAACTCATCTGAAACCTGATGTCCATTCTGGCTGGGCAGTGCTAACACTCACCTGTACCAGGCACCCAGCAGTGCCTTCTGTTGTTCCAGGTTGCACTTCACAGGTGTTTTGATTTCCCATCACACTCAGCTTCAGGGAGAGGTCAGGTATCAGTCAGGCCAGGATTGAATCATGCCAGAGGTGCAGAAGTAGCAGAACCATAACAGCTGGGGAGTGAGCACAGAGAGCAGCCCTCTGCAGTGACACCTGCAAACTCTGGTGTCCCAACCCACTGGTACCAGGTGAGCTCCTGCTCTAATATCAGATGATGCATGGTAATGCTCGAGTGGCTGTTTGGCAACTACGCCAACCCCCTGCCCAAGCACTTTCTGTCACCCTGTTCACCCCAGTGCTCGAGAATCACACTCTCCTTTGGGTGGTTCCATTGCATTGGTCCTGTTTGGTAGCAGATGATGTGAGCTCATCTATAGGGAGGATGTGTTTGGGCATTGGTCCCTGGGTGACACACAAATAAGTCTCTTGAAAAATTTACTCACTCTAGGGAGTGGATTCAAGCCACAGGAGAGTGACCAGGTAAGACATGAACACGCTGTGAGACTGAGAAACCATCCCTGAAACATGCCATTTTGCAAGGAACAAATTTTTCTAAAATTTCATTGCAACTAAAATAATGTTTGATTAAGATACAAATCTTAAGGTATCAGATAGGTATGAGATTCAGCTCTGTATCTTACTGACCAAGAACTCTGAGCTGCAGCAGTGTCAGAAGGCTCAGGTTTAGCAGCTGACCTACTACTGACTGCGCAGAGATCTGTGTTACCCAGTTTTCAGTGCAAAATTCAAGCTAATCTGCATTTTTATCTCATGGACTAACCCCTGTATGGGATTCTCCCTCATTACTGAGGTGTAGATTTTTCTGAGCAAGTACGTGAATGGCATTATGAAAACGCTCAGTTGTGAAAACCACAAAATCCCAGCTGTAATGAGCTGACCTTACCACTTTCCCCTTGATTTCACTGGAGGTGTGTTTACCTCAGTGCTGAATTTGTTCTCCTGGCTTTCATCCCAGTGTTTGGATCCAGCCTTGCAGATTACATAAGTGGGTTGTGATCCTTGCAATCTTTGCTGCCTTCTGTTTCTGTTCTGTTCTTAACATCAGTAGTACATGGTTTACAGGAACGCTTAAAAGTGAGAAATGCAGCATATTTTAACTGTGAAAGGCATAAGTCTTTCAGACATTACTGAACAACAGAACTAACTGCCACCAGAATGGATGCCTAAAAGCAGGTTTAAAAATATCAGAAGTGGAAGAGAAACTTTGTTTTTTAGGACTTAACCTCTCACTCATCTAATTCAATCAAGATTAAAAAAGCCTACTCCCTGGGGAGAATACCTCACGAATACTTAGAACAGGCCACAGATCATGAAAGGACACCACATCCCTATCTAGCTACCACTTGCTACTAAGTTAGTGTGAATAGAACACCCTGCTCAAAAAAGAGACTTTGTAGAGTTTTTTTAAAGCATGTTTATGTGACTGCACATAAATGTTTGTGTAAAAAGGGAGTTATGACAGTTTATACCACAAAGGTTACAGTAAGAAAAAGCACTTCTTTATGACAATAATTCACAAATTCACAAGAATCACTTTAATATACAAAGCAATTACTACCATTCTGAAACACAAAGCAGCTAATATGTACATAGTGTTAATAAAATGCATTATAACCCAGTACAACTTTTTTAAACACAGATAAAGCACAAAAAATAAGTAAAAAAAAAAAACAAAAACAGAACACAACAGGGATGTTTCTAGGTTTCTGGGGAGATGTAAAAAAGAATTTGTCTTCCCCCAAAAATGGATTTTCATTTAGTCTTTTAACTTCCACAAGTATGTGGGAGTCAAGCTCAAATACCCTGTTCTGTGCTGACATGGTTTGGGTAAAGAATCAGAAATGCAGATGAGGTGAACTTACTCTTTCCAGCTTACATTACAAAGGGAGAATAATAACCCTCGCTCTGGAAGCTTCCCTGAAAAACACTGTTCCAAAACAATTTCAAATTATAAATCCAGAGTAGAAAAAACTCGTTTTTGAAGTGAAAAACCAATCTGGGAACAAGTCTATGGAGGGGCTGGCTGCCAACAAGCACCTCTTCTTGCCCTGTTCCCCATCCCAAGAAGTCCATATAAGCAGCACAGTTTCAAATCTCATTCAAACTTGAAGTTCTAGAACTTTTTAAAATTAATGTTTTAATATAAATAAATGTAATTACACACACAAAAAAAAAATGGAGTGGCACCTGGCTAAAACACAACTTGTGGAGAGCATCTGAACATCCTCAGTTCTTAAGAGCAGCCATTTT